TTCACTAAATTGTGAGCATTTGGGTGAGATAACAATTAATAAACTTCGAATGAAGTGCATCTATGAGGTTAGTTGGAGCTGTGTATATTACAAGATTAAGCACACGTTATTAGGGCCAGATGGGATGCAATAGATCTTAGTCAATGAAATGATTGTGAATTGAAGGTATTAATTAATGAACAATGACATAACATTGTGCTACAATTCCATGGTCAAACTAGAGTCCCTCATCAGGCTGATCTTCCTTAATGCTCTGTTTGGATAGAGTGAAGTTAAGTAAACCTAGTGCAATAAAGTAAACCTAAGTTTTAATAAAAACTAGGTTAATCTAAGTGAACCTAGGTCCATACGTAAAATAGTGTTTGGAAATATATAATATGAACCTAGGTTAATGTAATAAATGTTGTTTGGATGAAGGTACTTTAATTCATTTTATGTTAAACGAGAACTTAACCTCCAAAACTCCCCGATTCGGAGTTTTTTCAATTTATGGTTCTTCCAGGTTCTCGGGAGAGTTAAGTGAGGTTAACACATAATCTAGGTTCTTGTTGGAAAAATACAAACAAACGGGGTTAACTAGAAATTGAACCTTCAATAACCTAGGTTAACCCCCAAACAAACAGGTCATAGGAGTGCTACGATACATTTTCTTCTAAGTAGGAGTAAGTTACTAATATCTGAATTACTGTCATATCTTGACATTACTTTGTTTTTAACATGACAATATATCATCATACATAAGTTACAATATTTTCCAGATTCGATAGTAATTACTTCTATTTAAGAAATCAAAGCATAACACTTTTATTTTGCATTCCAAATGTTTTTACTTCTCTATTTAAATAAAACAATTTCTTGTACCTATTCATATCTTTTTTTTCACATATTTTCAGTTGTGTTATACCCCAAAGGCGCATGATGACCCGTGTCACGTAAGTTCAAATAGAAGTTTAAATACAGTTTTTTTATTCAAATACAGTTTGTGTAACAAGGTTTTCTGGTTAACAATTGGCCAATTAATTCTTTTTAGTATGAATCACGAATGATCATAGGACCACTAACACATGTCTTAATATATACGGAGTATTCCGTATAACACTTTATTACTTTACATATTTTTGTGTGTAGGACTTCAACAGTGAAGAGTTAATGTATGGTTGCATAATTGCATTAGAGCTAGTATACTCTATAATTCTGTATGCAAAACGTTTTTTAATTGTAATCATGGTTTTTTTTGTTGAATATAAACTTATCGTGACTTAAAAAATCAAATTAATCAGTTTCGTGTCCCAGAAAGAAAGAAAGAAGCGAAAAGGTTGACAAAGAAGCGCTACTATTTATGTGAAACCAATTCTATGGATCGGCCCCAGTATGAGCCTATATCGTTAATATAATACATATATAGGGATCCAATCAGTATAAATAGGGATACATATATAGCCTATTTATGTGAAACCAATTCTATGGAGTAGTAATTAGTATGTATATATATGATGGGATCGAAACATATAATTGTGTATCACATTTCAAACGGCCATGTGAGGTAGGAGACCACCAACCAGCCATGTCTGAACTCTTAGGTTGCTTTCCGACGACATCTCTATTTGGTAGAAAGCTATAGGATGACTTTGGAGAAGTTTTTTGTTCTATTAGTTAGTATTTTATTAAGGAAAAACTGTCAAATAGGTCCTCGAACTTTCATAAAAAAGTCAATTAAGTCCTTCTATAGGAGACTCTGTCCGGTTGTCGCGATTTGGGGCGGTTCCCGGTGCAATTTTTTGATGAATTTTTTTGAGCATCTTATTCATCAATTCTAGTTTACTCATACCAAATTTCAGCTAAAAATTTAATCGGAAACGCATTCAAATTAATTCGAGAACGCAAAAATGCGCAGTTATCTTCAACAAATAATTTGAATGTGTTCCTGATTGAATTTTTATCTGAAATTTGGTATGAGTAAACTAGACTTGGTGAATAAGATGCTCAAAAAATTTCATAAAAAAATTCCACCGGGAACTTCCCCAAATCGCGACGGGCGGACAGAACCTCTTATAGAAGGACTTAATTGACCTTTTTATGAAAGTTCGAGGACCTATTTGACAGTTTTCCCTTTTATTAAATTTTATGTCTCTTTGAAATGGAAAACTCTTAATTTTGAAGAAATCATAGGTCATCAATTATTTATGTTTCATTCACAAAATACCCGAAATGAAAGTTGTGTAATACTACGTACTTACTACGTATTAAAGAATTAAAACAAACAAGTTTCATCTTTATGAGCGAAGGATTCTATTTGGAAACAAAAGCTGCACTAAAAAGTAGTAAAGTTATGTGAAATTTCAAAATAGATGTACTATTTCCCCCAAGTATTGTTATATATCATGCTTGAAAATACCATCAGTTATGACATAATACTGTAATATTAATGTTTGATAATGTCAAAATATACATGTATGATTTCATGATAGCAATAATTTATTCTCATTTAAGGGAAACACATGTTTCACAATTTTACATTGTTTTTACTCCTATTTTTCAAACAATCTTGTAGGTAGCCCTCCAATTTCAAAATTCATAGTCTTTTAAAATCCATCAAAGTCATAGTTGGGGACACCCCCTCAATTTATACTCTTGTTCTTCAAAATTTTATAAAATTTGATCGACACATGGATTAATAAAGTAAAAATGTTTGATCGAGATTTTTATAGAGGAGAGAAAACTGATATGAATCACAAATTGATTGATTGAAAGAGAAATTGACAAAATTTTAGGAAAAAGAAGGAAAGCTACAAAGTTTTTAAGGGACCGACGAGTATTAAGTAATATTCCTAGTATAGTGTGTAATTCATATCATGTGTAATAATATATTAATATTCCTTCTGTCCTTAAATGTTTGTCCTACCTTCCTGAAATGGATGTCCCAAAATGTTTGCCCAACTTTTTTCTTTCCTTATTTGGCAAACAAATCTTTATCAAAAAGTGTCAAACAATGCAAAACAATGTCACACAGTGTCGCTACAGTGTCAAACAATGTTGCTAAAGTGTCAAACAATGTCGCTACAGTGTAAAGTCAAATTCATTTCCTTAATATATGTGTAGCCAAACTAGAACAAACATTTAGGGACGGAGGTAGTAATATCTTGGTCTAACTAGGCTGACTGTGATCATATTCGGATTTAACTGTCTAGAGGCTTTGGAGGTAGTCAATAGACTCCAAGATTAAGGGAGCACAAGCACCGACATCTTGATCATAAAAAAATAAGTTTTATATATATAAGAAAATGTCAAAAGTTCCACAAAACATTACTTAAATAAAACACTACTGATTTGGTGATTTGATAGTTAAAAACACTACTAAAACCCTACTAATTTGGTGTTTTGATAGTTAAAAGTTGTGGTTTTTCAAAAATATTACTCCCTCGTTTCCAAAAGAAAGTCACAGTTTCACTCCACAAAGATTAAGGAAAAAAATTTACTGGGAGGTAAGTTTTACTGTAGAGTACAATGTTTTGACATTGTTTGACACCATTTTGTACTGTGTCATGGTAACTTAAGTTCAAAAATTAAATACTTCCCTCTGTTCCTTATAACTTTGCCAACTTTCTTTTTTTAGTTGTCCCAAAAACTTTGTCACTTTCCCTTTTAATCAATTAATTTGTGGTTCCTGTTATTTCTCTCTCCTCTGCACAAACCTCTACCACATAATTTTCAATTTATTATTCTACGTGTCGGTCAAATTTGGCAATCCTTTTAGGGACGGAGGGAGTATAAGATACTATGAAACCATTACTACTTTAGTCATTAGCCATATTTTTTATAAACAATCTTTATTTTAGTCATATATACTACGTATGTAATTATTTTTTAAAAGTTCTTAAAGAAAACTATGAAATAAATAAGAATGTTTTTACTTGAACTGTAATCTCTCCCAGACCAGACCAGACCAGACTTGGATAGTTATAAAAATACAAAGAAACCAGACCAGGCCAGTTCAGACCAGACCATACCAGATTAGATCAGACCAGACCAGACCAACAAATTACACTCCAAGTAAAAACATCCTAAAAGGCAATTGGACCAAAGAATAATACTCCGTAATTCCGTATGTAAGATCCATTTGGGACCAAAAGAACATAACTTATATGGATTATATATTTAATGAATTAAGTTTTGATTAAATGTATAATTTTTTTGTTAAGAGGGAATCTATGTTTGGCATCAAATAGACAGACTATTATTGTTCCAAACGTGGGTTCCAATAATATATATTTTCTTTTTAACTCACTTTTTCTCAATAAGATTATATTACAAGCCGAACATACACTTTTTAAATTATGGAAGTGTGCCTCATAATGTTCTTTTCTGATTGTACTCTGCTTAGAGCCCGTTTGGAGAACTCTGTTTTCGGCTTATCAGGCTTATCAGCCAGCTTTTTCACCAAACACGTAACTTTTACTTTCGCGCGCTGAATTGTGTAATAAGCCGAAAAAGTAAGGTTGAAGTTACTTTTCTGGCTGTATTGGCTGAAGTTACTGTAGAGGACCATTTTAGCTATTTTTACATATAATTTTTTCTTTAATTTATTAATAAAATATATTTTTAAAATATTTTTTCCTTAAAACAGCAGAATCAGCCAAAACAGCCACTCCAGCCAGAATATCATAAATTTCAGCAGAATCAGCCAAAACAGTCGATTTTGGTGCTACCAAACGGGCTCTTAATCCTCCAATCCATCTACAAATGTTTCATTATCTTAAATTAAGCCACAAATCACTAGTAATCTGTATCTTAGCAGAGTCACAAGCGCTCTTTTTCTGGCTGACTGGAAAGTCTGGACTGGTGGCTTTCAGGATTTGCAGTGTAGACCAAGGAAAAACAAAGGACCCCCTACGCTTATAGCCTCCAGTTGTAACTTGTAATTGTTGCAGTGAGGTATCTTTCTATTCACTCTCCTATATAGTACTCGTACCAGAATATACAAATACCAAATATAAAATAAAATAAAATAAAAACACATCTACTGACTCAATCTTGTTCTATATCACTACTCCAACCATTAGGTGTCGATTCTCTTAACTACCCATTCGTTTCATTTTCCTCTTTGTGAGCATACTTCTTTCCCTCTCCTCTCTCTGCTTCTCTCTGTGCAGTTGTTGCGTCACTTTCTGGTACTTTGCGGTGCTGTTCTTCCTCCTCTCTGACCCAAAGAACTTCTTGGTTTAACTGTTTTTCTTACCATCTAAACACACATTTCCCCCATATTCGTTTTTTGTACTGGGTTTCCTAGCTAGCTACAATCTTCTTGGAATGGATACTTCTAGTTCTGGGGAGGATTGCTGTGTGAAAGTGGCGGTTCACATTAGACCGCTCATTGGAGATGAGAAGCTTCAGGGCTGTAAAGATTGTGTTACTGTAGTAACTGGGAAACCTCAGGTCTTTCATCTCCTCCTGCACATAATGTGTTTCTGAATCTTTGGGTTTTGAAAGTTCAATTCTTTTAAAGTGGTTTGGTATTTTTCCTGGGTAATCTTTCGTTTCACCATTCCTTTGAGATCCGGATCTTTATGCTGCTAAGCTTCTCAAAGATGATAACTTTTGGAGAAAAATAAACTTGGGAGTGAAGTTTGCAGCTGCTGCATGTATCAGCCTGGGGGGTTCTGTTATATGATCAGAATTTTCAATTAAATTGTTGACTTTCAAGTAGCACATTTAATGAAAGAAGAGAATTTTACAAAGAAATGTCAATTTTGGTTTCTTAAATTTAGAGCACTGGGTATTGATAATGCTTTAATTTTGGAATAGTTGTGTCTGAATTCAGTTCTATACGGAAACGAGAGAAACTAGTTTCAAGAATTGTCGAAAGCAGTGGACTTACTTTGCGTATTTGATCCCTAATAAGTGTCTGTGTGATTTAGATCTGCAGGAGGGTTATCTGATAAATATATACTGTAGCAAGTTCAGATGAAATTCACCTTGAAAAAGATAAATGTCATGCATGCTGTTTAATCTCACCTTTCATTTATTATCCTACTTTATCACTTAAATAGGTTCCAGACTCTCAATGTGAAAACAACTTTTTTCCCAGCCTGTAGAACTAAAGTCCTTTTCTTATCAGTAAACTCTTTTCTGTTTTTGCATCACTCTCTATATTATTTATTTCTCAAAAATTGTTCGGTCTGTGAATATTTTAAATCCTATGTTTGTCTGTATTTATGTTTGATTAATGAAAATGTAAATTCTTTGTCTAAAGTCTAAACCAACAAATCGTGCAAGCACAGATTTTATGACATATTTCAAGTTATATAGTAGTATATTTTTTTATTTATTAATCTGTAAAAGCTATTTGTGGGAGTTTTTTTTGTTAAAACTATGAACTTGTAATAATTCCGTGTTCAATTGGACTGAACGTGATAATAAATCAACACTGCAGTGATCTGATTGTCATTTCTGGTTCAGGTTGCAATTGGATCTCATTCCTTTACATTTGATCATGTTTATGGGAGCACGGGGTCCACCCCGTCTTCCATGTATGAGGAATGTGTTGCTCCTCTTGTGGATGGTTTGTTCCAAGGATATAATGCTACTGTTCTTGCCTATGGTCAGGTAAGTCTTTACATTACTAAAAGTGATTTACCAGACATCATCAAGCCTTTTTACCAAGCGAATTTACATTGTATAAACATGACACAGACGGGTTCAGGAAAGACATACACCATGGGTACTGGTTTCAAAGATGGATTCCAAACAGGACTTATTCCCCAAGCAATGAATTCATTATTCAGCAAAATCGAAACCTTGAAGCACCAAACAGAGTTCCAACTCCATGTGTCCTACATTGAGGTTTACTGCACTTCCTTGTACTTTATAGTTTTAAGGGACTAAGGGTATTGATATTAATACTTGTGGGTCTATCCTAAAATGTCAAATAGGAGCAGCTTAATTATCTTAATTTCTTATGTGCAGATACATAAAGAAGAAGTGCGGGATTTGCTTGATCCCAGCTGTATTAATAAATCAGAGGTTGCGAATGGGCATGCTGGTAAGGTAACGATCCCTGGGAAGCCACCAATACAAATCCGGGAAACGTCAAATGGCGTTATTACTTTAGCAGGTTCTACTGAGTGTAGTGTCAGAACTTTGAAAGAAATGGCTGATTGCCTGGAGCAAGGATCACTGTGCAGGGCAACTGGTAGTACAAACATGAACCATCAGTCCAGGTTATTATTCATCCAGCCTCTTCATTTTCTTCATTCTTGTTTTTGTTTTAAATGGAAAGTTCTTCCTTTACACTTGTTAGTTTTATGTAACTCGAGTACTTTTCAGTAAATGAAAGCCAAGAAAAGCAAATAGAAGAAATGTAATTGGGCATTCAGTCATCCATATGAGAATCAAATCGTTCAACATGGCTGTTCACTGGAGTGGCCAAATCTTTAACTTTGTGCTTTGTTGTTGAATTTAGTCCAATAGAGTTATTGTGACATGCAACATATGACTGTGCATTATATGTCTATTTGTCTTTTGGGTTCTCTCTTTGAGCTTAGTAGAATCGAGTTGCTAATAGGCTACGAGTCTACAACATGCAACATACAACAAGACTCCATATGTTGATTTGTCTTTTCTGTTTTAGGTTAATAGACTCTTAATTCTTAAATACTTTAACATATTACCTATGCCTTATAAGGTCATTTGTATTTTTTGTTTCAAAACATGTATTTTTATTATTTGCTATATCTTATTTGTTTATTCATTCCCTTTTCAGTCGATCTCATGCCATTTTTACCATTACAATGGAGCAAATGCAAAAGATGAATCCAACAGTTTCCATTGATTCAAATGATAGTGACTGCATGACCGAAGAATATCTATGTGCAAAGTTGCATTTGGTGGATCTTGCTGGATCGGAACGTGCAAAGAGAACAGGCTCAGATGGTCTCCGTTTTAAAGAAGGTCGGTGAAAATATTCAAAGTTTCCTCTATCTTTATTGTTTATTTGGCCATTGTGAAGTTCTTGAGAGGATATATCCTTTTACAGGAGTTCACATTAACAAGGGACTTCTTGCACTTGGAAATGTTATCAGTGCACTTGGGGATGAGAAGAAGAGGAAAGATGGTGCTCATGTTCCATATCGTGATAGTAAACTCACTAGGTTATTGCAGGTCTGATACGGTTGTTCAGTTTTATATCAATAAGTTTCTCATCAGTTTTTGTGTCCTGATCTTAGTTTTTTGTGATATTGGCAGGATTCACTTGGTGGTAACAGTAAAACTGTCATGATAGGTATTTCCAGTAGAGAACTTATTTCTTCTTCTTATTAATTTATGTAATTTTTTTTCAATAACAGACAAAGCATGTCTATGATCATCTGAATTTGCTATTGAATACATGGGCTGAGCTAGGGGGTTATGCCAGGCCCCAGTCCACCCAAATTTAAAATAATCTTTAATTATTAGTGTGAAAAATTCATGTAAAAATTTATCCAAAAATATTCTTTGTACCGGGCTAGACCGCTAGACCTGGCTATGCCACTGGTTGCATACATTTGGTTATCTCACAAAATTGAGGGAGGGCTACTGTGGCCATTAACTTTAGGACCCCAGCATTATTCGGGCCAAAGGTCCTGGAAACCCATGTGAGGAATTCGAATAACCTCTGGTTTTTTTGAACATCTATTGAAAGCATCTATTGAACAACAAGATTGTGAATTCCTTTTATTTGTTTAAATTTACTCTATACCTTTGTATGTTAATTACAGCATGCATTAGCCCAGCTGATATAAATGCTGAAGAAACTCTTAACACTTTGAAGTACGCAAACCGAGCTCGGAATATCCGGAACAAGCCAGTTGTAAGTTTTTGAAGCAAGTTTATGATTTTATCATTTGTCCTACCAATTGATAGAATGTGTAATGAAATTCTGGATCAAATATATGATGCTTGATTATGCTCTATAAGTAATTTTTTTTCATTATCACCTAGATTAACCGGGATCCAGTATCCAATGAGATGTTGAAAATGCGCCAACAGCTAGAGTATTTACAGGCAGAACTTTGTGCCCGAGGAGGAGCTGCTTCATCTGGCGAAATACAGGTATATAGTTCATTAGTACCATAACGTGTCAAGAAAATTTTGGACCTAGCTCAACCCCTTACTAAGTTTATTCTTTAGTTAGCCGACCATTCAACCCAAAGCCTTTCATCTTGACCGTAATCCCCCCCCCCCCCACCATCTGGACACACACCCCTCACAGATGAACACATTCCGCTGGTCTATGTGAATTCTTTTCATAAAAGTCACATTGTAGTTATGAAGATTTAAAGTTTTGTCCTAAAAGGTTAAGTCGATAGAGAGTAGTCCGTTTGTATTAGGTCAAGGCTTAGTCGGATCAAGTTGCTTATTTAAGATTTGAGGTTTTATGACTTTTATCCTAAAAGGTCTTCCTCATAGGACAGTAATTCAAGATTATGTCAATGATCACATTAAGCCTAACCGTAAGTCCTTAACTCATACAAACTTCAAAAGGTTGAACCCATGTGAAGTACTCTTCATCACAGTTTCATATGATATGTCACAATAACTTCCTTGCAACATTGAATGGATGACTACATTGTGGAAGTTCTAAATTTATAAATGATTATGCAGGCACTCAAGGATAGGATACTTTGGCTTGAAACAGCTAACGAAGATCTAAGTAGGGAACTACATGAGTACCGCAGCAAATGTGCTGCCACTCAACCGTCTGACATAGATACTAATGTATGTTTCACATGTTTGCTTATCCATATAAATTTCTTATTGCCAGACGCGGTGCATTCTAAATCTATGATCATTTACTTTTAGGCCTGTGGTACCTTTACTGTAAAAAGTGAAGGGCTTAAGAGGGGTTTGCAAAGTATGGAGTCATCAGATTATCCAATGAGTGAGAATGGTATGAAATTGCTTGTCATTATGTAATTCGTACGAGAATAATGTCTGGTTTAATTCAACATTTATAAATAAAGATTCTTTTATTAGCTGTCCATTAATGTGTTCCTAGAAAATATTAGCAGGTGATCATGGAGTTGTGGATGACGAAGCAGCAAAAGAATGGGAACACTCTCTTCTGCAAGACTCTATGGGAAAAGAATTGAATGAGTTAAATAAACGTCTGGAACAAAAAGAGGTATCTTGATATTTCTTACCCCACATCTCAAACGGTTAAGGACTTAAGAGTCTCACATTGAAATACTAATGTTAGGAATTAGGATATGATTTTATAAGGCAAGGTCTTGGATTGATTAGCTCATTGATTAGATTCAATCTATCTGTATGTAATAAATGCTGATTTAGCTTATGTATGCTTGTGTGAGAACTCTGAAGTCTGAGATGAAACTGTATGGAGGGGTTGACCCTACGGCTCTTAAACAACATTTTGGGAAGAAGATTCTAGAACTTGAAGAAGAGAAAAGAGACGTACAGAGAGATAGAGATCGCTTGTTAGCTGAAGTTGAGAACCTTGCAGCTAATTCTGATGGACAAACACATAAGTTGCAAGATATCCATGCCCAAAAACTTAAAGCACTTGAAGTTCAGGTTAATTTCCATTTCCTCCTTAACACTTTAAGATATCAATTTATTGCTTATTAGTAGTTTCATTAGGGTATATATTTTGGAAAATTGTCCACTTATGGTCCCAAAGTTTCAAAGTTTTCTCATTTGTGTTGCCCGACAATGAAATCTTTCCTTTTTTGGCCTCTCCGTCCACTTTCGGAAATGCTTATTTTTTGACCTTTTTTGTCTCTTATTTTTCTCTTGACTGTCAGAAAGTTTAATATATTTACTTACTCCAGATACTAGACCTTAAGAAGAAACAAGAGAGCCAGGTTCAGCTTCTAAAGCAAAAACAAAAGAGTGATGAAGCTGCTAAAAGACTAGTTGACGAAATACAATCAATCAAAGCACAGAAGGTGGAGCTTTACTCTTTCTTTATATCCTTTCCAAATTCAAATTTCTTCAGTACTGAATATAACGCTTGTTATATGTGTTCTCTTAGGTCCAATTGCAACACAAAATTAAACAAGAAGCTGAACAATTTCGACAATGGAAGGCGTCTCGGGAAAAGGAGTTATTGCAGGTAGCTTTTATCATTATATGTTGCTTTTGACATATATTCATTCTTATAATTGCATAGTATTATACTATCAATTGTTTATATATATATATATAGGGTAAGGTTCAAGTGAGAAGAACCCTTTAGGTGAGAAGGGAGAATGAATCTCAACCATTGATTCGACTAAGTTGCAGTAAAAGACACTTCATGATGCACTGAAATATGCAATCTAGCACGGTGGCATTTCTGTAAATACTTCTGAAAAATCCGTGTTACACTTGTCTAGTGCAACATGAAGCTATTTCGGTGCAACGACGTCAAATATTAGTGCAACATGAAACAGTTTTAGTGCAACATTGCAAAATTTAAATATTGCTGCAACATAAAACCATTTTTAGTGCAACTTCGTAAATCTAATGGCTGAGATTCATTCTCATTTCTCACATTAGATTAATTTCTCACTTGAACCAAAATCTCTCTCTATATATATATATATTGAGTAAGTACTTAGTCCATTGAAATATTACATTTCTTTACACTCAGCTAAAGAAAGAGGGAAGAAGGAATGAATATGAGAGGCATAAACTTCAAGCTATGAATCAACGCCAGAAAATGGTGATTATTCTTCCCTTGCTACTTATCTTTGTATATATTAAACTCATACATGACAAAGTTAATATATATTTCAGGTTCTTCAAAGAAAGACAGAGGAGGCTGCAATGGCTACTAAGAGGCTTAAAGAATTGCTTGAAGCACGGAAATCCTCAGCTCGGGAAAATTCAGGTTTGCCCTTGAAACTTACCTAAGTTGATGCTTGCTTAGTCCTCCCATAGCAAAGTATAATCATAACGAACACATATTACCAAAAAATACTTCAAGGTGAGTAAAAAGTGCGGTAGATTTGATGGTTTTTCTTTGGGATAATGCAGTGAATAGCAATGGACATGTATCAAATGGACAGGTAATAATGTAATACTCTCTATTATTCTTTCATTTATGATTTTTTTTTTCCATACCTGTAACTATGGATTATTGTACTTAACTAAAAGTTTGCGTTCAGAGCAACGAGAAGTCCTTGCAACATTGGCTTGAAAATGAGCTTGAACTAATGGTCAATGTTCACGAAGTTCGTTATGAGTATGAGAAGCAGAGTCAAGTGTATGTAAACACTGTAAATCAACTTTATGTGTTTAATTTTCTTTTCTTTTTTTAATGATTTCTGTGTTGACTACTTGTTTTTATCTGCTTCTGGTCATTTCAGTAGAGCTGCATTGGCAGAAGAGCTATCTGTTCTTAGACAAGTTGATGAATTTGCCTCAAAAGGGGTTACCCCTCCAAAGGGAAAAAATGGTGTTTCTAGGTGTGCAATGATTACTCTTCTTATTTCATCTGTACAATCTTGATATATTTTATATTAGGGTAGGGTCATGCAACCAAGTCACCATACCCAAGAGATAGATTCTTATGGATTAGCTTGTTTAATCTAAACACCTTATAAACCTTTATGTTATTCTTTTGTATTCTGACAATGACAATGGACTTTGACCATGTTTAATCTAAGACCTTACAAATTCATATAAAATGTTTTTGTATGTTCCTATTAGGTCAGCGGTTTAAAACAGAACTTTAAATCTTAATATTGTATCAAAATCAATTAAGTTTAACTAGCAGCTTGATTATGATAAGCGTCTAAATGAGCATGTCGACTACCATTTAGGTTGGCACCAATGTCTTGATAAATAGACATAGATTTTATCTGTGTGAGATATCTTTTCAAAATCTATTTAACTTGTATCTATTTGTTGCAGAAATATATTTCTGTAAACTAATGTACGTCTTATGTTCAGAGCTTATTCAATGTCTCCAAGTGCTAGAAGGGCAAGGATTGGTTCTCTTGAAAACATGCTAAGCATCTCATCAAACTCACTAGTCGCCATGGCCTCGCAGCTTTCGGAAGCCGAGGAGCGGGAACGTGGCTGTAGCAACCGCGGCCGTTGGAACCAACTGCGTTCAATGGCTGATGCTAAACAATTGCTACAGTATATGTTCAATTCTCTAGGAGATGCAAGGTATCTGCTGAGTCTGCTGACTCATTGAAGTTTTTCTATCTATTATATCTATTTGTTAAGTTACCTCACACTGAACATTTATTAATTTATAAACAAACATATAAGGTATTATGTGATTACTCATTTTCCTTTCTGGTTGACCGCTTGTCTTAAATATCAGATCATATTATGTTCTAACAAGCAACTCAATCACTGTAGTATGGTTAAAAATCCAAAAGCTCAAGATTAGTGTGTTCTAGTGAGTTCCATCAGCTCTACTTCTGTGTGTAAAAACACCTCACACCGCACATATATAAAGGTGTAAACGAACATAAGACACTTGAGTTAGTCTTTTAGGATGGAACCCCAATTCTTGATATTGTGAAAATGTGCAATACATGTTTGGCAAACCATTAAGTATAGTAAAAATCTCTTGCTTTACGTGCTCTTCCCAATAGGTGCCAACTGTGGGAGCAGGGACTTGAAACTAAAATGATGAAAGAGCAAATGAACGAACTAATTGGGGTCTTACAAGAGAGCGAGGTTAGAAGAATGGGGGTTGAAAAAGAGCTCAAGCTGAGAGATCAAACTCTTGCAGTTGCACTGGCAACTTCAGCTTCGGTATGATTTTGTCTTCAAATGTCACGTTTCTGTAAAACTGTTTGATGTATCATGATTGCCTTCCAAATTTCATATCTTTTATGATGACTCTCATATGCAGCAGGGTAACTCAAACAAACACTTCACTGATGAAATGAGCGGTCCATTGTCTCCAGTACCAGTGCCAGCTCAGAAACAGCTGAAATACACACCTGGGATTGCAAATGCTTCTATCCGAGATTCAGCAGCCTTTGTAGATCAAGCCCGAAAGGTTTGACATTTACACTATTTTCCTTCTCATGGTGCCTTTTTTATGGGTTTCTTATGAGTAAAAACTTGACTTGGTATCCTCTACAATACATTATGGCTCAATTTGGTTCTTAAACTGAAATTTGATCCAGTTTTGTCCTCATGCATATTTTACTCTACATACGAAGGGTATTTTTGTTCATCATTAATTAAAAATCCTTTTTGGCTTTCAACTGTGTAATGTGGACTTAATTCAGTCCTCATTGTACGGGGATATGTTCAAAAGTTTGTCCCACTTTGCTTAAGTATAAAATAATAAACCAACATATTAGATCTAGGGCTCCTCCTCCAGTAATGATGATAGATCTTGGGCTATTCCTCCTATTTGATTTGTTTTCCAAGTTGCAAGTCCAAGTCTTAACATGATATCATAATATTAATTTGGTATGTGCCCTTATGAAAATTGAAATAATGTATATCTAATTAACAAACCAACTTATAAGATTTTGAGCCATTCCTCGTGCAACAACAACATCCAAGCCATTCCTCGTATTAAGTTTTAATAAAATAATCTTTTCTTTATTACAGCTATGTGTGAGGACTAATTTGAATCTATCAAACTTAGGACTCAATGACCTAATCAAGTTCAATAGAATGTTGAAGGTGAATTTGAATACTGTAATAATGTGTAGTCGAGGGACCAAATTGGGTATTAATTTGTGTTGTTCTCCTGTTTTATCTTAAAATCGTTACGTCACTATACTTGTGGTGAGGGTAGATGGTGCCGGCCGGACAGTTATCAATGAAGAAATTAGCAATGGTAGGGCACGGTGGAAAGCTATGGAGGTGGAAGAGAAGTCATCACCAATGGCTCTTGCAGTTCAAATGGAAATGGCAAAAGCCTTGGAGACTTTCTGAGTTGATCAGACACAGTGATGAAACCATCATGAGGACAAAGCCTTATGGACATTCTCTTCCGAATAATATCTCATCTAGAAATGGCCATTAGCATCGTAATGAGCAAGAAATTACATTCCTGTTTGACCTTTTCTTCAGTCTACTATTAAATGGCAAAGGAAAGGATTAAGTTCTTGGATTTAAGAGAAGGTAAGTTCTAGTTATCATCTTCATTTTGCTTGTTTTTCTTTAGACTTATTGTTCCAACTACCTTGTACGGGTACTTTACAGCCTTAAATGTGATTTTGCATATTCATGGTATGAAATATGGATAAACTTGTATTGACATTGGTTTTGTAATCTGCAGGTTGCATTTATGGGGAAGGAGTTTGGAGGGAGGAGTTTGTATAAGGTTTTTAACAGAAGAAAATGTACTGTTAGGTGAAAAGAATTTTGGTTTTAGATCATCAGAATTGTCTTGTGAATATGTTGGGTTGCTACTTGCTACATATAGTCTCACCATAATAGTGAAAGAACTTAAGAAGATCCTCAGGTCAGAGGATTGCATTTTGCTGGTCTATTTTCAGACAATAAGAAGGGGAAATGCCAGATGTGTGTATAGATTTGAGCAAATAACAGGAGTAATAAGTGTATTCTTAGGTAAGTGCAGTCATGCCTAGGAAGGTATTTTTTATTCTTTTAAATTTGTTGTTTGTATCAAATTTGTTTATAGAGTGTAACTGTGTAAGCACAAAAAGGGCAGTAGTAGAAATAAGCTTTGAGTTCTGAAGTGTTTTTGTGATCTCTACTCTCATTTTAGCGGTCTATCTATTTATAACTCAACAGTCACAGTGTTTAGTAAAAACTTCAGGCATATCTCCCTCTATATAAAAAGAGGTGGAATTGAGGTCAAATTTCCCGCTCAAAAATGTCACCATCATGAGCAAAGATGTGTCCAAAAATTGGTAATGTATTCCAGAGGAAGCTATCAAAAAAAGGTGGGTAGTCCGAAAGGTTTGTCAGAGTACTATTTGATGGCTGGTCAAGTGCTGTCCATTCTCTCTAAAAATCATACGGAGTAAATGTCTTCTTTATATCTTAGATTCTTGGCAAAGCATCTTGCGTGGATGAAGAGTAGGGTGCGACGATGGCAACCAACAGCTCAGCTACGGTAGCCACAGCAACATGTTTTCCGATCTTGGGGATGGCGAACAAAGATGACGCCCGGGGAGGAACGGAAACCGGCCAAATCATCTTGCGAGTAGGCAGAGAACGGACAAGCTGGAGAGCCGGAGCTACGCAGAGAGCCAGTCCGCCAAGCAGTTGATTCGCTGACCGTGTCTCAGCCCAAAATACGTCCTGCAACTAACCGTCAATCTTATTTCTCTGAGAGGCTGACTGTCCTTCTCTTCACTCTTCCTTTCTTTGTTCTCGCCCGATTAACTTCTTCCATCTGCCAGGTCTTCTATTTCCACCCTTCGCCCCATTCCGGCTTCTCCTCCATTTCCCGATCCACCTCCTCAATTTCTCGGGCCAGTCTATCAAGCTTCATCCATTTCCGAAGTTTCTTATCGAGCTTCAATTAGACGTTCTCTTTGCATGGTGAGAGCCGGGGGAGGATGGAACTCTTTTCCTATCCAGGTTCTTTGTAGCTCCACAACAGATATTTCATCTTTCCTGATATAGTATGAAGTGGAATGCAAGTGGGATTTCTTAAATTCAACGGGGAGTATGCAGTTTTATCTAGAAATTAAAGGTTGACTGTAAACATTGTAGTATCTAAGTGATCTTCTGGGATTTGAGAGTGCAAAAGGAGGCAATTAATTATTGGAGCATTCTGATACGGTATTAACTTATATGTATTTTACAGTTTTTTTTGTAAATAAGACTACTGCTCTTTTTTTTCTTTGTGAAGAGTGTTCATTGCCATCTTATGTCTTCTTTGCAAGTTTTAAACAAGGTCAATTGGTTCTTTGTAATTCATTTTAACATCATCTTCATTTAATTTCCAATTTTCATAGGATGAAATGATTTGTGATGAACAAACTGACATTACGGTAGGAAAACTTTAAATCTTTTATTTACAAATGCAAAAATACTTTTTTATGCATCCAGTTACTTGATACGATAATAATTTGTGATGTTATTAACATCCCTAATATTTATATTTAAGAATTATAAATTTTATTGATATAGTTTTGAAGAATTATGCCTATTTGTATATACTTCATCTTTGTTATTTTGTTTATTATACTTAATAAACTGAATTAATTCTATTAAAAACTTCTTATATATTAAGAACCCTTATCTTTGCTACTGATATTGGCTCATGTTTACTAGGTTGGCTTCTAAAATCTCTTTGGGCTTTCTTGATTGGTATTTTGATATCTATGCTCTGTTCTTTGAACTTGTGCTTATACACTACTGAGATATAAGTTTTTCATTTGGATGGAGTCATTTAAGCCATGTTTGAAAAATGTAAATTAGTAGTGACTTGGATAAAAGTTTAATTTGTTCACTCTTCTGCAGCCAAGTGCGAGGAAAACAGTATGAAAAATGTAAATTTGTAGTGTCTTTTCGTAGGTGAATATTTTGGAGAAAGATTAGCAATCTATTTTTGTTTACTTTTCTACCATGAAGTATGAGGAAGAATCTGTCGTGGAAGAGGATAAGAAGGATTAAAATCTACTTGCTTCAGTTTTCCATGGATAAACTACGACTCCTTTACTAACTAGAACTGGACTTGAAAAAAGTACTCTATAAAAGCCAAATAAAGATGACTCCTTCAACAATTTCACTAGAAATCTAGAATATGTAAGACCAGATTGTTTTAAAACCAATATTATCTGAATTCTTCGTTTGTATTTAAGCTAACAAACAGATTATATTGTTGTATACAAAAACAGTTCACAATTACCAGTTTGGAAAAACCCAACACACACTTCTTATAGTTTCTTTTTAAAGGATACACACTTCTTATTGTTGAGATTACAAATTTAAGTTTTCAGGTTGAAAATTACAATAAAAACAGTTTTATGCTCAAGATTATAAAATTATACGTATAATGTTATATACTCCGTACTTGAGAGTATAATAGAGTATAATGTTGTATACAAACACAATTCACTACTCCGTATTATATAATACTCCGTACTGAAGATTAAATACGGAGGCGGGTAATGCTAAGTTATCTGATGTATGGGCAAGTGTCCATATTTAATACGTAGGTATATCTCTGTATATAACCTTTCTGATGTATCCAAAATATACCCCTCTTAGGTATTGGGTAAGACTGCAAGGGTCCAAGGTCTGTATTTTATTTTACTTACTTTCTTAAAAATAACAAATTAGGCTGTGTTACGTTTTATCCAAATTTTAATGATAAAATTGTTGGCTTCATTATATTTATATTTATTATAAATTTTATTTTAATTATTAAAATGTATAATGATAAAAATAAAATGAATAAATTCATATCATATATTTATCTTAATAATTTTTTAAGATAGATGTAATTCTTTTTTGTGTACAAAAATTGGTGATCAAAATGTTCAGGAAGTTTCGTGGCCTCATCACAACAAATCATCTAACGTTTTCATCAAAATGAATATGGGGAAAAACTATCACACTATCGATGTTGTTTACAAGGAAGTGTTTCGAAATATTTAGTCTTTTTGAATTTTATTGTATGCTTTATTTTTCCCTTATTCTATATAACAGGAATTGTACCAATTATGACTCATAAGTATTTGTCCCTTGATAATAATTATTTGTGTATCACAGCTTCACAGCTGTACGCTTTGCATTCATTCACTCATTAACTAATAGTGTTAATAAATAAAATCATATAACTACACGCTAATATATGTCCCGTGCATCGCACGGGTGAAAATCTAGTTCTGCAGTAAAAAAAGCAAGTAGGCAACTAGGCAATTATTGATGTCTCGTGTCTTCCAAAAAATATTACGCCATCACAGACAATAGGTACGGAATTGTCTGTGGTCACAGACAAGAGTTGTCTGTGTACACAAACAACTTTTGTCTGTGTCCACAGACATTTACTTTTTTTTGTAAAAAGTAAGCTGACAGCCGCCTGACACTAACATCAGCTTGCAAATCAATCAATATATGTGCAGTGCCTGTGTGCACAGACAATATTTTCATGTTGCACAGACAACTTTTAACACACAGACAATAGTTGTGCGTTCCACAGACAATAGTTATCTGTGTGATCAACTTTAGTTGTCTGTGTGATCAATTATAATTGTCTGGGTGAACAAAAAACTCAATTTTCTATACACATCCAAATGAAGGATGTAGTTGTATGTGTAATCAATTTACATTAATTTGAATAAAATTAGAAACACAATAAAAATATATGAAGTAAGATGAATAAGTTGATTTTGTGCAAATAATGAAAAAAAAATGATAAATAAAGGTAGAGAAAAAGAGGATGAAGAAGGAAAGAGGAGGATGAAGAAAATAATTTTTTTGTTGCTGAGAATTTTAGAAGAGATTGGGTAAAGAGGAAAGAGAGAAGGGGGAGAGGAAGAAGAGAGAAGGAACTCAAGGAAGAAAGAACCAAGAGAGGGAGAAGAGGGAGGAGGAAATGAATTTTTTTTTGCTTTTATACCATGTACAACTTGTGTACATGGTGTGTATACTTAGCATTTTCCATGTATTTTATAGGCCTGATCTTCACACTTGAGTATGAGTTAAACTTTACAGGCCCATTTTGAATTACACTCTGATTTATTTGGACCTATTGCGGTTCTCTGGTTTAGTTCAGCCCATTATCGTGTCACTGCCTGCAGATCTTGTAAATAAAAGCTCAACTGAATAGAATTTGTTACAATAGAAGATAAAAGCTTTTGGAATGTAATAAGCACCTATTATTATAACTAGGCATGAACTGGTTCCAGTTCCAGGTCGGTTCTGGTCCCAGAGACCCAGACTGGTTCTAGGGAGTTGAGTAGAGGAACTGGGATTGCAACCTCCATTTCTAGTCCTTGACCGGCCCCAGCCCCGTTTTATATTTTTTATGTAATTTAAAACCCTTCTAACCTCCATTTTTAGATTTTAAATAAATCTACACTCTTTTGAAATGCTTCCAAATGCTTAAAATGAAAAAGGAAAGAACGGTCAGATTGACTGTTTCCGGTCTCAAGAACATAGTCCGGGAACGGTACCTATGGATCCCCTGAGGGCTGAGGCTGGTCTATTAAGCGAAGCGCCCAAACCGATATCGAGAATCACTCAGTTACGGACTATTTACGGTTAAAACCACTCCTAATTAAAACCAAGTTCAAGGTTAAGGGATGATATGGGCTGATTTTTTTTTTTTTTTGATCGGGCTGATTTAGATTAAGTTATAGTTTAGATTGTTTTTATTATTTAGTTTTCATAAGAAAAAAAATATTGATCCTAGTTCGATTAACATTGATTAAAGATGGAAGTTCTAGACTTCTAGTCAGAGTTTGGTCTAAAAACATGCTATGCGAACTGTCAATCCAAATTGAGGTTGCATGGAGTTTTATTTTAAAAAATGTGATCATGTAAAGTAGGGGTACACAATTTGGTTTAATATTCGGTTTTTTTCGATTTTGATTTATTTAGTTTGAGACATATTATTGTACCAAACTAAAAGAATGTGTGCTTCGATTTGGTTTCAATTTGGTGTGGGAGTTGTTTGATTCTGTTTGGTTTCAAGTACGGATTACCAAAGTGAAATTTGTTGTTTTGGATTAATTTGGTTTCATATGTTTATTGGTTTATTTGATTGATACATAGAAGTTCTATTTTGAAAAAATTCACATGAATAATCTGTGGTCTTCTCATATTAATCCCAACTTTAGGTATTTCCTATACAATTTCAATTATAAAGTGTATCTTGTCATAACAAACCCATGACCTCCATAAACCTATTCAGAAAATCACCTTGCCACGTGGCTTGTTTTAACTGGACTATATATTTTCAATTTTTTCTTTTGTTTTTATTTTACTTTTACTTTACTTTCTTACCCCCCAACCCCATACTAGTATCTTCTCCGTGCTCCAAGCTCAGTCCTTTTTTTTTCTCTCTTTCACCCCTCACGAGTCTTATTTCTCCCCTTCTTTCCGATAAAAGCCCCTTCTTCATTTTTTCTTGTATTTCTAATATTTCCTCTTCTTGAAGAGGAAAACCCTGTAGCGGGGCCAATTTATGAGGATCAAAGCTTGCAACCCCCTTCAAATGGCGGCAACCTTTGTCTTTGAAAGATCTGATCCCTGAAGATGAAGTGCGTGGGAGAGTGCGTCGCCATGCTACTTTCAAATACTTTCAACTTTTTTATCTGATACGCAACTCTTGATTTCACACACTAAATTGTGTAATTATTATTTTTAATTGGAAACTAATCATATATTACTGCAATAAATCATTCTCCAACTAAAGTACAATGCAATTAGGCGGAAACGAAAAATATAAGACTATCAATCATAGAAAGTGCAGCCTTTTCTAGGGTATGAGCCACACTATTCGCGGATCTTCAATAATGGATGACTTCTATCTCAACTTCATTTTGATGAATGTGTCTTATGTCGTCAAGAATTGAGTCACAGTAAGACTCGTCCTCTCTGTTAATAATTCCCGAGGCTACCATCAAGGAATCTGTCTCAACTTGCACCTTTGGCCACTGCTGTGTTCTGACCTAAGATGACGTTTCTCTGACTCCTATAGCCTCCGCCACTCTAGCCGTCCAATCCGCACGGACCTTCTGGCAACCTGCCGAAATGAACTATCTCATGTCATCTCTGACAACCCACGCCCAAGCTCGGATACCACCGTTTGTGTCAAGAGCCGCATCAACGTTAATTTGTACCGCTCCTTTCCTGGGTTGTTGTCATTTGGTACCACTTGCTCCCCTCCCGCTTTCCCCTGGGAGATTCTGGTCACTCTCCAATTCCTCAGCATAGATGCCCCCACTTTCAGTATTTGCCGCCACCTGACTTTCTTATTTTTCCAGA